CAAACAAAAGTGTTCTACTTATATACTAAAGGTATGAGTCAAAAGTATGAGTTCGTATGACTTGTGTAGAGTCATACAAGTCATATCTAGTCTATAAGAGTCGTAAGAGTCATATGAGTCAGTAAAGGAATCTGGCTGGAGTGCATGCCTAGAACTGTCCAGTATGGTCTAGGTACGTCTTAAGAATTATGTAAGTGTCTGCGCGTGTGTATCTATGTAAGAAAAGAGTCTGTAACAATTCCCAGGATTACACTGGAATGACTGGATTCCTGCAAGAATAGGTGGGGCGCTGAGTGCACACTTCAACATAAGTGTATCTGCTATTGGCACTGCTGTTGCAGACAGAAATTATGTAGCCTTGTATCTGCAGTTCAAGATAACTTGAAGAGGCCTTAATGCAGATTGGTAGCTTAGTGGATGCATTGGAAGATAATGGACAGCCTAACAGGAGAGTTGAAGAGGGGCTCGAATGCAAGCACAGACATAAAGTATGGGATGGTGAACTTGAGATGCTTTTAATATACTCATACACAGTCAATCATTAATTAAAACAGTCAAACAAAGAGAAATTTATCCAACATAATAAACAGAATATCAAATTTCAGCGAAAATAAATATGGGTGAGAAGTATGGAAGCATTGGGGAAGAAGAATTAAGTACTAGTTCCTGCAAAGCCATGATTGAGATGTCTCTTACTATGAAATGAATGCATCATCCCAGACTTGAATTTTGAAATCGTCTTGGCAAGATTGGTCAGAGAATGCACTAATCATATAAATATGAGTGTCAGTGAAAAAGAAAAAAATAAAGCTCATTTCATACCTTTTTCCTTGGAATTCATAGGCGGAGATTCTGCTCCAGAAACTTTATTCTTTATTTTCTGAGCTTGGATGGCCAGTTTCTTTGCCTCTGCGTATTTTCCCTGCCCATAATATGTTGATGCTAGATTTAACATGGCATTGATTGTATCTGGGTGTTTTACTCCTTTTCCCATGTTTCGATATGTAGCTGCAAGACTTCCCATGGCATTCATTGTATCTAGGTGTTTGAGTCCAAGAATTCTGGTCCTTGCTTCGATAACTTGGATTTGAAACTGTTCTGCCTCTGTGTATTTTCCTAGCTTTTCATATGTTGCTGCTAGACTTGCCATAGCCTTGATTGTGTTTGGATGTTCCACCCCAAGAATTCTGTTCCTTGTATCCAGAACTTTAATCTGTAACTTTTCAGCTTCTCTGAAATATCCTTGTTCCATCAACAATCTCCCATGCTTGGCATAAGCATCATCTAAGTAAGTAACACCATTTCTGTTACTTTCTGATCTGGAATGCTCTAGATCTGCTCTTATATGGGTTACCAAAGCCCTCTCTGCCTCTGGGTATTTTGCTATGTCTTGATATGTGGCTGCAAGATTTGCCATGGCAGTCATTGTACATGGGTGTTCCACTCCAAGAACTCTGTTGCTTGCATCCAGAACTCGAGTCTCCAGCTTCTCTGCCTCTGTGTATTTTCCTAGTCTATAATATGTTGATGCCAGATGTGTCATGGCATTGATTGTATCTGGGTGTTTCACTCCAAATATTCTGTTCCTTGCATCCAGAACTTGGATCTGCAGCTTCTCTGCCTCTGTATATTTCCCTACGTCTTGATATGTGGCTGCAAGATATGCTATGTCATTGATTGTATTTGGGTGGTCCACACCAAAAATTCTGCTTCTTGCATCCAGAACTTGGATCTGCAGCTTCTCTGCCTCTGTGTATTTTTCCAGGTATCGATAAGTTGCTGCAAGATGTCCCATGACACTGATTGTATCTGGGTGTTTCATTCCAAGGATTTTGTTTCTTGCATCCAGAACTTGGACCTGCAGCTTCTCTGCCTCTGTATATTTTCCTATATCTCGATATGTGGCTGCAAGATTTGCCATGGCAGTCATTGTACGTGGGTGTTCTGCTCCAAGAACTCTGTTGCTTGCATCCAAAACTTGAATCTCCAGCATCTCTGCCTCTGTGTATTTTCCCAGTCTATAATATGTTGATGCTAGATGTGCCATAGCATCAATTGTATCAGGGTGTTTCACTCCAAGGATTCTGTTCCTTGCATCCAGAACTTGGATCTGTAGCTTCTCTGCTTTGGCATATTTTCCCATGTTTCGATATGTAGCTGCAAGACTTCCAATGGCATTCATTGTATCTAGGTGTCCATGTCCAAGAATTCTGGTCCTTGCTTCGATAACTTGGATTTGAAACTGTTCTGCCTCTGTGTATTTTCCTAGCTTTTCATATGTTGCTGCTAGACTTGC